TAAACATACTGATCACCTCTTTAAGGTGACCAAATTTGCACCACATGTACTCAACAGAAGTTCCTTCTGTTAACCACCTCTATATGTTGACCAGTTTGTTACAGTCTCTTGGGTGGTCACCTTACAGAGGTTCAACTGTATATATGTCCTCTGCCTTTACTTGAGGCCTGCCTTTCCTCCTTCCCTTTGAGTGCTAGGTTTGCTCTTAAAATCTTGACACTGGAAATAAAGAAAAGGGCTGAACTGAAGCAGTTACAGGAAAGGGGCATAAAGACCTTACAGGACCTCCAGATAAATGAAGCAAACCTCGGTTTTCATCCTGAAAGCATCATCAGTGAATGGAAGGGGCTGCATGGAACAGGCTGGTATGCATTTAGAACAATGTTAAGTATGTCAGAGACAGGTAAGACTGACTTGTAAAATGACACAGGACTTAGACAAATAGATACAGAAAGTGAAAAAAGGCAACACAGAGATCTAGATGGCAGAAATGAAGAGACAGGCTCAGTGCCTATGGCACCAGAGCTGGCAGGTTCAAACCCAGCCCGGGCCTGCCAAATAACAATGACAACTACAACCAAAAATAGCCAGGTGTTGTGTAGGGCGCCTGTCATCCCAGCTACTTGGGAGGCTGAGGCAAGAGGATCACTTAAGCCCAAGAGTTTGAGGTTGCTGTGAGCTGTGACGTCATGGCACGCTACTGAGGGCAACACAGTGCGTCTCTGTCTCAAAAAAAAAAAATGAAGAAATATGGGTGGGTAGGCCTGCGTGAGTTTTACTCCTGAAATGAAGCTATTCATGTAACATTAATCTTTTCTTTCAATTCTCTAGCTTCAGAAAGAGAGATGGCCCTTCCTTCCTACTAATACCAACACTCTTCCTACACCATCTCTACTTTTTCTTACCCTCTAATGCTCTTGCTCCTTAAAAACAAAAAAGCAAAAAACAAAAAACAAAAAAGTCAACTTTCTTCCATTTCAAAATCTGACTTTATCACTAGACCTTTCACTTAATAAAAATATGCATGTGTACCCCCCCATCTTAAAGGGAACATGCACAATGACTCTACCATCCCCTTTTATAGACTGATTTACTCCTCATCTTTGTTTTTTCCATGGCAGTAGACTGTCCAATAGCCATAATCTTCCACTTCTGTGCTAACTCAGTCAGATTATCTAGACACTCATATTTCTCCCAGGTAAGTCCAGATCTAATGTGACCCAATGCAGGCCAAGATGAGAGCAATCTACTTGGGGAGAGATGGAGGTCTTGGGGCCGTGGGAGTGGACTGGGAGGTGGTGTGTGGGACAGGGAAGACCCTGATGTTTTAAAAAGAAACAAAGAAAAGAGGCACCTATTACTGCTGGACATTATCTAACTTAATGAGATACTTAGCTATAGTCAGCCTAAGGCCATGAGAAGAACTAGAAGTGGATAAGACATGTGGAAGACAGCAGTGTAAAGATAAATAATTTGAGTCCTTAGTGACCTTACTGAAGCACTGCAAAAGCCCCAACTAGACTCTGCCATCTTGGTTAAGCCAGCAGAATACAGGTTTTATATTATCCCTTCTTTTACTCCAAAGGATGTGAATGAATTGATCCATCAAATAACTTTCTCATTAGACTCCCATCTTTGGGAAGTACTTTTAAAAGTTTCACAAATAAGGCCAGGCGTGGTGGCTCATGGCTATAATCCTAGCACTCATAGAGGCTAAGGTGAGTAGACTGTCTGAGCTCACAGGTGCAAGACCAAGTGAGCAAGAGAATTGTCTGAGCACATGAGCTTGAGGTTGCTGTGAGCTATGACACCACATCACTCTACTAATGGTGTTTACAAAGTGAGACTGTCTCAAAAAAATTAAAAAAAAAATTTTCACAAATAATCTTATTTTTTTTGAGACAGAGTCTCACTTTGTCCCCCTCAGTAGAGTGATGTTCTGTCATAGCTCACAGCAACCTCAAACTCATGGGCTCAAGCAATCTCTTACCTCAGTCTCCATCCCAAGTAGCTAGGAATACAGGCACCCACCACAACACCCAGCTATTTTTCAGAGATGGGGTCTCATTCTTGCTCAGGCTGGTCTTTAACTCCTGAGCTCAAGTGATCCACCCACCTCAGCCTCTCAGAGTACTGGGATACAGACGTGAGCCACTGGGCCTAGCTGTTTCACAAATATTTAAAAGTTTTTAACATTATACACTATCTTAATCTTTAACTTAATTTCAAGTATGTAAATCTTCCCTCTTCATGAGACTACCTTGTTATTCACATATGCTTTTTCTTAAACCTTAAACAACCTAACTCTGGCAGGTACATCAGTTCTAATAAAGTCATAAAGATCAACAATTTACTTTTAAAAAAAGAAAATTTCACTCCAAACTTGAATTACTAAAACCTATGTTAGAAAGGGAGTAAATGTAAATATAAATGCCAGACAAGTTTATTTCCTTTCAAACCTAAGTTTAAACTTAGAATGAAATTAAAGAAAACTATTACAAATGTTAAGATATTTTCTTGCCATTTTTCTTCCATAGGAAAATAATTTTTAAAACTGTTTAAACTGGACAGGTGTGGTAGTTCCCACCTGTAATCCACTAGCACTCTGAGAGGCCAAGGAAGGAGGATCACTTGAAATCAAGAGTCTGAGCAAGAGAAAGATTCTCCTAAAAATAGAAAAATTAGCCAGATTTAGTAGTGTACACCTGTAGTACCAGCTGCATGGGAGGCTGAGGCAGTAGGATTGCTTAAGCCTAGGAGTTTGAGGTTGCACTGAGCTAGGCTGACACCACAGTACTCTAACCCAGCTAACAAAGCAAGACACTGTCTCAAAAAACAAACAAACAAAACTATTTAAACATCTTCATAACCTATAACCTGTTCTTTCTGCAATAATGTGAATATAAGCAGGAAAAATTAAATAAATAAATGAAATGAATAAGGGAATAAAGCTGCTATACTGGAATTTTTTAAAACTGTTATACCGGAATCTTTTAAAGACTTTAAAAAGACTTTAAATCTTTAAAAAGATTTTATTTATTTTTACTTATTTATTTTTTTGGAGACAGATCCTTACTTTGTTGCCCTCAGTGGAATGCCATGGCGTCACAGCTCACAGCAACCTCAAACTATTGGACTCAAGCAATTCTCTTGCCTCAGCCTCCCACATAGCTGGGACTCCAGGTGTCCACCACAACACCCAGCTATTTTTTTTTTTTTAAAGAGACAAGGTCTCAGCTTGGCGCCTGTGGCTCAAGCAGCTAAGGCGCCAGCCACATACACCTGAGCTGGCAGGTTCAAATCCAGCCTCGGCCTGCCAAACAACAATGACGACTGCAACCAAAAAATAGCCGGTTGTTATGGCAGGCACCTGTAGTCTCAGCTACTTGGGAGGCTGAGGCAAGAGAATCACTTGAGCCCAGGAGTTGGAGGTTGCTGTGAGCTTTGACACCACAGCACTCTACCCAGGGTGATAGCTTGAGGCTCTGTCTCAAGAAAAAAAAAAAATAAATAAAATAAAAGAGAGACGAGGTCTCACTCTGGCTCAAGCTGGTCTCAAACTCATAAGCTCAGGTAATCCACCTACCTTGGCCTCCCAGAATGCTAGGATTACAGGTGTGAGCCACTGTGCCTGGCCAAAGATAAAAGATTTTAAAGCTAAAAAGATAAAATATGGCTCGGCGCCTGTGGCTCAAGCGGCTAAGGTGCCAGCCACATACACCTAAGGTGGCGGGTTCAAATCCAGCCCAAGCCTGCCAAACAA